CCTATAGTTTTGAATATATTTATTCATTTTCAAAAGAGTTTTAGACAGTGGCAAGTCTCCGTTACTTTGTACTTTGTACCGTTACTGCTTAGAAATGGATTTTTCGGGGATTATGAATTTTTACAAAGTAACGGAGACTCGCCACTGCCTAGAACTCTTCGCAAAATTAATAAATATCTTCAAAACTATACGAGAAATATTTTAGAAGAACCGTCACTATGACTTTCCGATCAGCAGAAAACACTTATCTGCTTAAAAATCGATTTTTCGGGGATTATGAATTTTTACAAAGTAACGGAGACTTGCCACTGCCTAAAATTCTTTGGAAAATGAATAAATGTGTTCAGAACTACACGAAAAATAGTTTAGAACTCGTAGAACTATCGAAAATCCGTCAGTGTCTTAGTGTTATGAATACATCTTTTTTTTCTATCGGCTGTTTTTTTAACAATCTAGAACAACATAAGCGCGCGCTTCGCGCGCGCCATTATTCTTCCACATTATATATATTACATAAACTGTCAAAATAACCCTCTTAAATACAAACTGTCGAAACCGCAAGTCAAAGTGAACGACTCGCAACGAGATCGACACATAAACTGTAAAAATAACCCTCTTAAATGCAAACTGTCAAAACCGCGAGTCGAAGAGAATCGACTCGCAACAAGATCGAAATCGAGTTTCGAGAGAGCCAATCGGCATCGCGGAAAAGCGACAACAATGAACTCGCAACGCCTTTTTTAGATAGGGAATATGTATCTCGTTATACATCTTCAAGGTGTGTCACGCATGAACAACATGCATAATTATACGCATCTTCATACATTCGCGATCGATTTTTGCATTCGATTTTCGCGATCGGCTTTTAAAAAACATTTCCAAGATGTTAGTATTTTTTTATTTTCATCCATATTAGAAATGTTGATTTATCGCGAAATATAATTAAAATTAATATAACGCGAAGTACAATGTTTCCTGCATATAGATGTTTTCTGTGTATAGACTTGAATTGGGAATTCAAATATCGAGTCACGAAGAAACAGTCAATATTCTCGAGTAAATGACTGAAGTAGAAATATATTTAATTTGTTTTATGCAGTACATTTTTCGAATTAAAATTCTTTTTTAATTAACGCCTCGTAGTCGTGTATTTTTCGATACGATCGTCGCTCACATTTAATTCAAGTCGTACGTATAATAATATCTGTCGGTGACGATAACAAACCGACTATGGAAGGTGTTTTCTTCCTTCCTGATCTCTGATCAAAATGACCAGACATTGTGGCCAGGAACAACGAAAGGTATGTCCAATCTGGCCCAACGATGGAAGACGGGAATAAGACGGGGTAAAAGGTCAACATGGCCACCATCAGAGTGGACGAAATAATTTGATTTCATTTGATTTGTTAAAATTCGGGTGGGTTTCTTCCGAGGGGAAACCGCTGACCAAAATCTTGTACACCAATGGCCACTAATGCCCAGTGGGCATTACTTTATCTTATTATCTTATTTTCTCTTATTATCTTAGTATATCTTATTATATATATCTTATATATCTTAGTTTATCTTATTATATTTTTATAATGCTCCAGCAAGGCCTAATGTCCCAAAAATGCCTAGTAATGTCCAGCCGCAAATCTGTACACCACAATGCCCTCAGCGGTTTCCCCCTCGGTTCCTTCTTTATATGTATATTCTCGGACATGTGCGAGATAAGATCCCAATTAAATCCCAATTGCGGGCGTATAATCCCAAATTGGATCTTTTCTAAGTCGCATCGCGATTTTAATGAGACTCTCGTAGGTTTATTAAGTTGAAACGCGGGTAAAAAAATATAATGTATCAAGAGACACGGTAGTGTCTCGCGCCAAGTAGGATAAGCGTAGCGAAAACCGCGTGCGCAAGACCGACCGTGTATTTTTACGCGAGTACGCGAGTTGAGAGGCCCTCAGATTATTGAATCTCTGTAATGGTTAATCCGATCGACTTTTAATTGTTAAGTATTATACGGGTAGGTAAGGTTTCGGGTAGGCAGTGGCAGGAGGACATAACTCGATAATTAAGAAGCTAGATAACATTGTAACTGGAATGTAATTGCAATAACTTTAACATTATTACATATATTATTACATATAATAATTTAATAATATTAAATATAATTGTATTTGTCATTATTTTTATTAAAATAGATTTTTTAAATGCATATATAATAATAACGTTAGAAATACAATACAATTTAATTTTTTGTTTGCACGTTAATAAAAAATGTTGCACAATCGGCACAACTACATGCGTAGCATTGTATAACATTTTTCATTAATGTTCTACATTGCAAGAGTTATATATTATTGTATGCATATCACATGTTTCTATGTAAGTTTATGTCATGAAGAAATATTGCAAGTATTTTTATTTACATTATGTTAGCAATTTTACTGTGCAACCTATTCTCCCTTTTATATTTTTGTATATACTACAAATTAAATTGCAAAAAAAATTAATTAAATGACAAAATGTAAGAACACAATTATTGCAATGAAAAGAGGACCGCCGAGAAGAATTCGGCGGGGATGGTGGAGGGCCTCTTATGCAATCAAGCTGGTCTCTTTTTAAGATATACAGGGTGAATATTGATGGGCGCACCAATCTTTTACCATAGGAGATGGATTACCGTTCGCGACTGCGGCCAACCCTGGAAAAACTGGAAACCATATCTCGTTACCTATATCTAATTATATCTAATTATATTTAATTATATCTCTCGAGACGCAATTAGATATGATTGAGACACATGTATATAACGAGATATGTTTTCCAGTTTTTCCAGGGTTGGCTACATTACGGTTGGTAATCCACCTCCTGTGGTAAAATGCCGGTACATCGATTAATATTCACCCTGTGTATTATACATATGTGTTTGCACATGACTGATATTTGCTTCGCCAGTGAGAAATTACAAACAACTAATATATTATTTGACTATAACTGATAGAATTTTTTTCTTATACCTTAAACTATTAAATGTTATGGAAGGGAAACTACCGGTGGAATTTTATATTTCTTACTTTCGACAAGACTAACTAAATTTCAGCTATCTTCCGAATTAATAAATATTTAATTAAAATGATCTGGATCACTCACACACCTTCTTAATCACACTTTATAATTCTTCGTACAAAATACAAACAATATTTTATATGAAAACTTTTTAATTCATCTATTCCGGTTAAATACCGGGTTGAAAAATAATTAATTGATTACAAATGAACGAACGACTCACAAATCTTTTCAATTGCACCTCAAGCGTCTTCATATGCAGTACAAACTATTGCATAGTTATTTAAAAATACGTTTATTTCCGGTCAAGTTTGAGCGAATCATCTGGATGACTACGTATAGTTCGTATATCGATTGCTGATTATTTTTATTGGCGAAAGATTGATAAAGTAAAGGGTAAGTTAAATTACCAATAAACGACAAATTCCTGTCTCCGAGAAATTTTATTAGATGGCAGCTCCAATACTGTACGTAGTGTACATTACATATCTTTTTAATTACTTAACGTATCATTTAAAAATGCCACTTTAGCAAATCTTATGAGACGTATTTTTACACACGACATGCGAAATAGATCCGTATTTTTTCTAATAAAAATATATCTCCCTAAATGTAAAGTACATCCTAATATTAAATTTTGCGGCAATACGGGCTCGATTTCATCGCTACTTGTTACAATTTATTCTTTTCAATAGAAAAATATATAATAAAAATTGCATAAATTAAACTCTCGCTAACATAAACATAGAAATAATAGGTGGGATATGAAAGATTACAATTTGTTTCCGTAAATGTCATAAATGTAGTCAATGAAACGCAACAGTAACCACGTTATACTCTCATTGCTCAGAAAAAAGTATCACTTTATCCCCCGCACGTTTTGGCTCAGCAAAGCCACGAACATGAGCTTGATGTATTGCGAAGACACATTTATCTACACGTAAAAAGAAGTTCGTGATTTCTGCTACATACCTTGTACCAAATTTAAAAGATTCAGAATTTCGATTTGCGGAAAGAAAATGATGGAGCTCGCGCTAAAATAGTAGTATTATTTTATTTGGTATCATACATGTACACCTAAATTCGATTTCTACAACAGATAGTCATTAAGCAACTTTGAGAATTCGCCAACGGAAAATTATTTCATGTGGATCTTCCTGATATCGATAACGCTGCACAACAAACTTAAAGTTCCCTTCTAACTTGCTGGTTGATCTTAATCAGAAAATTTAATTAATTAGATAGTCGACTTAAGAAAGCGAAATTAGTATCTGCGAGCCGAAATATCGCGAATAGTTTCCGAGTAACGAACGATGTCGCAGTTATCTTACAGAACAAACTTTATTTACATTCTATGTACATTGATTTTTCAATTAAGACCGCCTGCTTTCGTGGAGGAGCAAAAATCGCGTTGTGCAGCGCGATCTCACGTGTTATCGATGAAGATTTAATGACCGTCCCGATCGCGTTCGTGAATCAAGAAGGTGTCCTGGTACAGGGAGCTCGGTGTTCGGTGCATCATCGTGACAAACGAGCTTCCCGACGCCGGCGTCGTTGCAGGATTCGGCGTTGGCGTTAGCAAGGGGGTACCTTGAAGACTGATGGCCAGTGGAAGGGCACCCGACGTGCACAGGCCCACCGCCCCCCTTCCGCTTCCCGTGACCGAGCGATATCTCGAGGGCCTCGTAGACCTAAGAGGATTGTGACGTTTCTATTCAATTTATTTTTCTCCTCCGCGCTTATGAAGGAAATTTGTACAACACACTTGTTTTGAAGCTGTAAACAATGCCCGTCAGGCCTTTCTGAGGTTCACTTATGAGAAAAATTTGATCGCGGAAAATCGAAGGATCGAGCGACACTTCTGAGAATTGTATCGCAAGAAGATGTAATTAAACAATAAAATTAAGCTGCGTTTATTAAGACCGCGGCAACACTTGATATAAAAGGAGAAGTACAGTCGCGTTACCTCGAACACTTGCACTTCAGCAAGCGAATGAACGCGGCTCGAAAGGTGCGGTTGAAGATGGTGTAGATGATCGGATTGATTGTCGAGGACACGTAGCCCAGCCAGAGGAACGTGTCCACCACGTGTCTCGGCACGGGACACCGGGGACACGCGGCGAAGAAGATGTTAAGCAGGAAGAACGGCGCCCAGCACAACACGAACGTGAAGAACACCAGTCCCAGGACCTTGCTGGCCTTCTGCTCGGTCGCGACCGCGTTCGCGGATAGGGATCTCTTTTTCGTGCGACCCGCCAGAAACCTTGAAGAACGTTCGATTTTCAAGCACGCGGAATTTTTAATGTACAAATTCCTCCGGGGGGGGGGGAGGCTGTACCTGAGGTTCAGCGTGGTTGGCGTGACGTTCAATTGAAGCTTCAGGGCCCTGAGGGTGAAATTCCGTGTCTCGCGTGCGATGTTCTCCGGCGTTTGGGTCGCCTGATCCACTTTCGACTTGAGCCGAGATCCTGCGGCGGGACTCCCGGCGCCGTTCGCTGCTAACTTCAAATGCGGCAGGACCTTTCTCACGCCTCCGCATTTGTCGCTGTTCAACAATTAGACCTTTTAAATCCGCCCACAAGCCACTCGCGTGTTTGTTCTTAGGGAACAAACGTTTCCCTTACTTTATTCGCAACTGATCTCAATTTTCTACACGAAAAGATTATAATTGCAATTAATTAGCATCGCGAGGAGAAAATGAAATAAATATTTCGCTTTCTCTCTATGTTAACTTGCGCCATTATTTTAATTAAATGAAACTTTTTATATTATAATATGAAATAATTTATGACGAACTTTTATTTTTATGGCAAAAACTTTTTTATAATCAATGTTTTTTATATAAAACATTTTTATTTTCTCTATGTTTCACGATATATTCTACAGAGATACAGACTGCATTGTTTATATTATTCTGTTTGTTTATTTTGCGACAGCGATAACATGACAACGTTGTCGATTTCGTGCGCAGATTGTTGAGAGTTTAAAAATTGACGCGTTGATGAAGAAAGTTGGGATCACATTAATTCGCGGCCCCGGACTGGCCGTTGCGTCGCGACGCTTGATTTAAGATGCATAGACTCGTGGATCGTCGCTTCGCATTGATATCAGGGGTGTTGCATGCGCGATCTACCTTGCATAAAGCTGCGCTACAGAAACGGAATTCGATAAACGACTTGTATACATATAAATTGCCGCATGGCTCCAATTTTTTTTCACTTCTTCATAACTATGACTAGCTTCTTTCAATAAATTAATGAAGAAATATTGAGGAATACAATCGCGCTCAATCTAGGTTGTAAAATTTACATTCCGTTTTCACATTCACCTTTGTGTAGTTCTGTTCTCACGGCAATTGTAGTTTATGCATATAACTTGCGTACAAAATTACATATATTTCACACCGCAATTTAATTTAGATACAAAACACCCGATATAAATAATATAATTTACAAAACTACAACGACAACGGCACACAGAAGGTGTTTCCGAACTCGCGAGGCCTCGTGTCCACTATCCAAGAACTGTGTCTAAGCTGCAGTTCCAAGAAACTTGCATCCTTTACGGCAAAGCTACAAGTTGATTGGCCACGCATGTTTCGGAGCCAGAACTTGGACACGGTTCTTGGATCGTGGACACGAGGCTTAACGGCGGGCCAGGGGATGATTTCCTCTACGGGGAGCAAAAGCAATAACGAAGAGTGAAATTGTCTCGTACAGAATTTTTGGGGGAGAGATGATTTTGAAAAGAGTCCAACGCTCACCTGTCCATTTCCGCGCTGCAGCCGGAGGCGCGAATCTGTCTTGCCGTGGATGCCGACGATCTCACGGCGATGGCCGCGGCTGCCGCGTTAGACGACGAGGCTGTCGATGATGTCGTTTTTGTGGACGCGTATCTGCCGCCCAGCCGACGAAACTGATCGCCCTCCGGATTCTCGGCCGCGAATCGGGCCTTCTTGCGCAGCAGCTGCACCGTCAGGACGTACGTCGCCACCATGACGATCATGGGAATGTAGAAGGCAATCAGGGAGCCGAACACGAAGAACGCCCGGTTATTGATGACGCATATCCCTGGCCGCGGCATGATGTTCGAGGGATTAATTACGCCTGAAACAACAACCGTCGAGATCTCGTCGCGCCTATCCTCCTCTCTAATTAGCTGTCGATTGAGGCTTTCGATTAGCCGTCAAGCTCCCCGGGATCTCCTCCCGAAATGCGCGGCATACCCTCGAATCGTCATCTCGCAACCGTTGTTTTACATCTTACGGGACGTCCCGCTAATTGGAACGGATTTTGCCCCGGTAAAAGTTGATCCGAGAGAGTGCTCGCAAGTGGTAATTGGGTTTTCGGAAGTTTGTTTTAAAATGGTAACGATACGCCTGTGCCAAAGGGAAGTTATTTTCAAGAATGACTTCGAATCTGAACTCCCTCGATCTAACTTTGCGCAATCGATCTCCGAGGGAATAAACGTGAAATTACGTAAATTCCGAGAAATTTAGTATAACTCGCCTAATTAGAATTTCCATTCGGCTATTTGCATTACAAGAGATGAAAAAGAGGTAGGAGGTTACTCTCTATTATCGATTAGGGCGGCCATCGAGAGCCTTGATAAATGTGTATTATGCCGATAAAGCAGCGCAGCGTCGTCACGCTTTTTCGCTTCTCATCTCGCGAGAATACAGTGAAAATTATCGGCTCATAAAAACGCGGGGTCCTCTATCGATCTGTCGAGGTACCGCTCGTATCTTCTCACCTTGACTTTCTCGCAATTTTCGAAAATGAACGGTTTCGCAATCGCGAAGATTCTTTTGCTGCGCGATTTGCTACTTCAAAATCGGCAGAGATCATTAAGAATATACAGAAATTAGCGTAACAAGAAAATGTAAAACAGATACACGGTGGAGAATGTAGAGATAAACGTACGCTGCGATTATTGAAGTTGCTTAATTAATTTGCGCTTAAGTGGCAAGTGGAAAATATCTATTAGGTCAGAAAACTCGTTCACTAATATGCATAATCGGTTTAGGATTTAAATTTTCCGCGAGAGGCTCGATGCAGCTTCTCATAAAATAGTTAGCTCTTTCGGGAAGTTTTCGCCGGGATATGAGATTTAATTTGCCCCGAAATGTTCGAACGAGCGGCGCGCCCGTTTGACAGCTTATAAAGAAATGAGAGGTCCAATAAAGCGCCCCATTATTAATCAGCCGCCATAATGAAGACGCGCCGTCCCCGTAAAGTTTAATACGCTAGATAAACACGACGGGACGATTCATCCTAGAACAGAGTTGGTCGGAATAAAGGGAATTGTATATTCTACGAGCGCGAGCAAACGCGAGGCCGCGGCGGTCCAGTTTCCGTTTCCCGAATATGTTTCATCTGGGCAGGGAGATTGTTTGCCGATTCTACGCGTTTTCATCGCGCTCGCACTTGCCCGTTTTACGAGATACGTGCTGGCCCACATTAGAGGGGCTCTCTAACCGCGGCGGGGGTGGCCGCCGTAGATAGCCACCGATGATACGAAGGGGGACGGGGAGATAGGGGGGTAATTTACCTAACACCGTGATGGAGCTCGAGACCAGCATGGCTAGTAGCCAGACCGCGGCGATCTTGAAGCCCACCATTCGTTTCGTGGATGTGTGACGTGTCCTGAGCGGATTACGGATACCCAGGTAACGGCCCAGGGAGATGAAGCACATGTGCATTATACTCGCCGAGCACGCGAGCACGTCGCATGTCACGTATACGTTGCACCATACCACGCCGAACGGCCAATACCCTGAAAATTCGAAAAGACGAGAAGCTAGGGTGTCAAGACTAAGGAGCGAGGACGGGCATTTACCTGCCGCGGTCACCCTACACTGATAGAAAAAGATGTAGTATTTGAAACTACATATAATTGCATAGTAAAATAATTATTATAGCCAGGAATATCGTTTTATAGTAATTATTACTGTAATATTGGTAATAGCAACCATATAGACACAGCGATGCCGACTATTTAAAGCATTTACTATAAAATAGAAGCTTTTAACTATTATTCTGTCAAAATATCCGGGTAATAAATAGAAAAATTGGTTAATTATTTTTATATAGTAAATGCAATCGCAATAATAGTAAATTTAACTACATTTCTATCATCCACCTTACTAGATTAGTCTAATCACATGGTGAACAAAAGTGAAGTGGTCCGGAATGTTCTCGCTAGAGGGACGCGCGGTATAAGACTTTCTCGTAAGAGGAAAACCGCATAGGTTATAAATACGGATAAGTTTATACATTCGTATAAGATTACTTAACTTTTCTTTGAAAGATAGTTTTTCTTGTACTGGACTGTCTGTCTTTCGAGCGAAAGTTGAGCGACTTACTTCGAAATTGTCACATTTCTAGACAATTTTGTTACAGTTGTAATTGTGCATTTTCTGTGTGCGATAATTTTCAGCTTTAAGTAAACTTCTTGCACACCCTTCGAAAGGAAAATACGCTTGAAATTACACGAGAAATAAAGATATTATCCGTCGTCTATTTATATTCTTAATGTTTAATCTGCGGAAAGATATCGGCGAATCTCGCACGTGTACAATCTGCATGGAGCAACGAATGTGAAATAACATCATTTTTCAAGTTTTAATTAGGAAACATTGATTAAAAGTCTAGTAGAGGGAAATTTGAGCTGTATTCAAATTTCAGTCGTACGTTTGAATTATTAAAATATCGGGCAAAATATTAAATAATTCGTGATTAAAGTAATATTTGAAGTTATTAATTGAGATAACGATTGATCAGAGTTTACGTCTATTCAATAACATTCTGCCTTTCTTGTAGATTTATGGCTGGGTAATGTAGTTTACATAAATTTTTGCTTTTTCGCGGACTAGCCCATACACGCGCGCGCGAAAAACGGCAGAAGGGAGAATGAATTAATAGTGAAAATTGTATGGTTTCCTTTCTACGAATTCTCTCTCCCTATTGAGACGCGGAGGGAAAGGATTTAGTTGGAGAACACATTATTCCGGGCACTTTGACTTTTGTTCGGCGTTTTTGGTGATGCGCTACTTTTTCCAAGGGACGGTAACGAGAAAACGGACCAGAGATGAGCGTGGATAGAGACTTAAGCCAACGGCACACGATACTATTCTCATACAGCACGTATGTCTAAAAGACGACTTAAAGATGTTTTAAAGATGTCTTTTAGACGCGCGTGCTGTATGGGTTTTTCTTAGTGGATCGCTTACGAAAACCAATCAGGCTTGAGCTTTAAGTCACCTGATCTGAAACTCTCTATCCTTATTGGTTCTCGTAAGTAATCCAGTAGGAAACATATTATCGTGTGCCGTTGGCTGGAGGACGCGCGGGAACGTACGGTGCATCCCCGCGATGAATGGGCCACATCAAACGACGTCAAATGTCGGAAATGCGTTACACAAACCGTCACTTTCCACGCGCAGGTTCCCCGAGCCGCCGGTGTATTTTTGTCGCTTCAAAGATTTGCGAAAACTCGAAGCCGCCGATACGTCTGGAACGCTTTGGGGCTGTGTTCATAGCTGATTTGATTAATGACCGCGATTTCGGAAGTCGGATCCGGACGCGTCTGCTGCTTTGCGAAAATTTATAATTTTCCGGAACGGCACGCGATTCGACGATTCATTTCATATCGATTATCTATTTATTTGCCTCCCCGATCGAAAGGCGGGACGAATAAATATGTGTACGCACCTCTTTCTCACGTCTGAGGAACTCGTGAGCGCTTCGCGGAATCCTTCCTCTGTACTTTCCGCTAAGCAAAGCATATCGCTCGACACGTAACATTTGATTATCGGCGAACGTTTACTCAATGAGAGTCAAGAACGAAACTTACGGAATGCAACGGAATGCATCACTTCGTATGCAGTCACTCAATGTTATCCTAGGGATTAAATAAACGTTCAACGATTATACCGCATGATGATGGATTGTTCAAACAGCGATTTGCGAAACGACGAAGATCCGATAAAGTCAATAACGATTTATGTATACGAGTCTATAATTAATTGCGCCTTCTCAGTCACGGATTGAAAATAATCCCGCGATACACTGCGAGCAACGGCCTCGGTAATTTTGTCAATTCGTTTCACACGTGTCCCGATTTTTACCGCGTCGGATTTCCCATTATGCAGATCCCAGTGCTGTAACCGTAGCTCGGAATGAGTGACGTTTAACGAGTCGAACGAACGAGGCGTCGCGAATACTTCAAAGCGTGGTTTCTTCCTTTAATCCACCGGCATGGATACTAATCCAATTAAAATAATCAACTTAATCCGCCGTCTCTTGGCGTAGTGCGCTGCACTCGTTGTGAGAATTAAGGCGAAAAGCGCAGAATGTCTGAGGACGCATAGTAACCCCAAAAATTTGCATAGTCGCATTATATTAAGATCTCCTCGGAGACTACGTTGCGAGGAATTTCATTAGTAACAGATTAAAGCACGGCTTGATGAGCAGACACACTGCAATAAAGGCCTAAATACATGCGAGAAAAACGAGAGGGGCAAGCGCGAGGGTGGTAAATAAAATAAAATTAAAAAAAACCCTCCCGGGTTCATAGAAAATTGTAAATGTCGACGTTCAAGGTGACACGGATCGGCGAGCGCGGACCTTCAATATAACATTTTACATGTTCAATATTTGACTGGGGATTCGAGTGGCGATTAAAATTAAAATGATAAGTATACATCGCGAATTACATTTATAATAATTACATGTCGCGGATATCGTGTCGCGCGAATATCTGCGCCGGCAGACTCGAATTTACCATTGTTTAGCGGGAAACATGTCCAAATGCAACGCGACAATAGAGATTAAGATTTTATTTTTCTTGCAAACTTCGGGACAAGAATAAAAGATGAAGCGCACGTGAAATTTGGGGAAATCATTTGAACGCAAGGAAAAAATTCGCCTGAAGATAAGATCCAAGGAGTTAAAAAGAAAGGCAATCTCCATTATCGATACTGCGCCAGCGATTTATGCGAAGGGACGTTTCGATTGTTGTTACCGTTGCTAATCCCGCGCGTATACAATATTTCCTCCCATTCTTTTGTCAATTTGAGAAGTTAGCGGCGGAAACTTCGCGGGCTTCCCCGGAAATGCGCGAGGAAAGAATTGGAATGCGAATGGGAGTAGCCGATAGTTCGCGCGTGAAGGCGCGAATGCCGCTGAATACGAAATATTCGCATAGCTCCGAGGCGGCGAGTTTGCCAATTTTCAGCCACAAAGGCCGCGTTACGCGCCGATGCGCATCCCCGTAACAAGGTGCATACGCGCCGGGTTGAACCGCCGCCGCTGTACGTGCCCGCAATGCACTTTCTGCCGTTTTCGCGGCATATATATTCGCGAAAATATGAAAACAAACGTCGGAAATGAACCGCGCAACTTAACGAGTGTAACGAGCGAGCCCGAAAATGGCGCGCGCTTCACGCCCCCGATGATTTCAGCACGTTTGTCCCACCTGAAATATTGACGACGCCTCGACGCTATTTCATCACAATGGTTAATTAAACATTAAAATATCAGCGCGATCAATAACGATAAAATATTGCAATAAAATGGAGATAAATAATTTCGACGAATACCTTTAAAAAGTATTTAACATTTATATCGTCCCGTCGCATCCTGTTTTGCGATTTTACACATCAGCGGTCGCCTTGAAATTTTTCCGGCGCTACGTCGTTTGTTCTATCTTATAGCTAGATCGTTTATAAACAGCTGGAGATTAACAGTTAAAATCTTTGCAATCACATCGTTCGCAAAGTCTGAGAACGCACTCGAGACGAATTTCAGGGCGATTTATAATGGATAGGCGTCAAGATAATTGTAGGCTGTCATCGAGCCGGCGTAGATTGGACACTCGAAAGTACTTAATCGCCATACGGCGTGCTTCGTTGCTCGCAGCAATTTCAGTCGAAACGCGAATTAATTAGCGCCATAATCACGGCGCCTCGTAATAGGATCAAGGACGGCGAGAATTATTAAATGTAATACCGTCAATCTAATCCTTGCTTACTAATTTTTAACGCCAATGTTTAACGCATTGTGCAACAAGATACTTTGTCGTGCAAAATGTGAAATGAATTATTTTTTACGCGACGGCTGCGAATCGCGTCGGACGAAATAAAGAAATGCCAATGCACAGTTGACTTTAATATTTTCGCCTTTAATTTCGGGAATTTATTTTTACTTTTAGCGTGTTGCTAATTGCTGCGTGATTATTTTATACAGGGTGTCTGGCACAAGAGGACCCCTACGAAAAATGGTGGTAGATTATGTCAGACTAAGAAGAAAAGTCATGTACCATTTTACAAAATTCGCAATAGTTATCGAATAATTTATTGAAACGTCTGAGCGAATGAGCGCGCAGAGAGCGGTGGGCCGGGCCCGGTAGGTACGCGAGGGGCGGGCGCGAGCGGTAAGTACGAGCGATGATCGACACGAGACGTAAAGCCTCGTCTACATAGAAGTCGTAAAGTCGTAGGATACGGTCGTAGAGCCATATCGGTGGTCGCTTGAGAGGTTAGTTTCCGGTCGCAAGATGGTCGTCGCAATCGTGCAAGTCGGTCCAATTCTGCGGGGTCCACAACGACAGTCGCAGAATCGCAGTCGTAAGAATAATCGACTGTAATTGGTCAATTCAGTCAGACCCATAAGAATTAACCAATCATAGTCGACTATTCTTACGACTACGACTCTAAGACTTGCGTTGTAGACCTCGCATCCTATTCCTGCGACTGCGACTGTACAACGAGCCAATCAGATAGAACAAACTTAATCTAACCTAACCTTACCAAAGGAAAACGCGCTTACGCGCTCATTCGTTCAGACATTTCAATAAATTATTCGATAACTATTGCGAATTTTGTAAAATGGTATATGACTTTTCTTCTTAGTCTGATTCAATCTACCACCATGTTTTGTAGGGGTCCTCCCGTATCAGACACCCTGTATATTTGAACTATTACCTAGATAGAACACACAGTTCTATGAATATTCTTCTGGAGTGCAAATATTCTTAATTTCAGAATATTCCAATCGAAAATTCTATAAATACACATAGATTGTTACAATTAGAAATCGTATATTCAGAACAAAGAAGAATGTTTTTAGAATATTCGCCGAGAATGTCTTTGGAATATTCGTTCAGAATAACGTTGTAATATTCATCGAGTTTATGTATTGCAAATTGTTTATTGTGTAATACACTTATCGTATGCAAAAGGCAGTGAAACTTGTGAACGCCATGTTCGATAGATTATTCTATTCACATTCGAAAAAGATTTATAGTAGTGTCAATCGAATGTTTCACGAACATAAGATAAATGTATAAGAATGACCTATGGAATATTTTAAATATTCTTGAAGAATATTTTTAAAATGTTCATAGGAGTGTCTTGTGCTATCTGGGTAAGCCTAATCTACAATGTGCTCCTTGCTTGTCTAGAAACATTCTATTCTGTAGCCAATAAATAACCAACGTTTAAAAAATGTATGCACGTTGGTAAATTGTACATTACACGATCGTACATTGTCGACAAAGTTTTCAAGCGTTTCGATTTGCTTGTATTAAACAAAATGTTTCTAGACGCAAAGAGCACGTTGTAATTAGGTTTTAAGGAATTACCGACAGCGAATTCGGTTGCTCGCACTAGTGCGCACTGAGTGCACACTAAGGCTTGTTAGTCAATTCTTACATTTAAGTTTGTCTTGAATATACATTGAAAAACTATTTAGCAAAAAAAATTGACCTGTACGAATCGTTTTTCGGGATAAGAAATATTTCAAGAAGTAAGACGATCCTTAAATATAAGAAGTGACTATGAAGTCTTACTGTGCACTCAGTGCAAGCAACCAAATTCGCTACGAGACTAATACAATCAGAAACTCACGTTGGACGTCACAAACTTGAAAATTTTACATTTATTAGTTAGTGAAGTAAAGTTTATTCGTAAAGTTTCAAAGCCGGATTTAAGTCCTGTGTTGCAAAATTTGAAAGCGAGAAAGCTCGAAAGCTCGGTCGCCTGGCCCGTAACGATACGAGATTCGGCGATTTCACCTGAGGGTGGGCCGTGACATCGGCCGCAAACATTTTTTTCCCCACGTCGAAACAACCGGAGGAAACATCGCGAGTCCCGCGAACTGCGAAATATCGAAATGTCGGAGCTGGAAAATACGAGCGCTTTTATTTCAAACGGCATTAGACCCGACAGTCTAAGAAGCCGGAGGAAATGGGTATGCTAGATGCTTCAATGGAGTTTCATATTAACGACTTGATGGAATCGAATGGCGCGTTGTTGTCGCCGTTCCGGATTTTAAGTTCCCCGGACCTAGATGCGCGCCTGGAAATTACTCCTTTCAGGTCGCGGAGCAAAAGCTGTCTCGTTCGCGAGATAAACGAGCCGCGACGATGAATCCGCTAATGCCTCGCGTGTCGTCGGCGCGTTTTCGCGTGAAGAATGGGGCACAGGCACGTGACGCGAAAACTCGCGGGATAAAGTCGTCCCTCGACAATGGCAGCGGCGAGGAGGGCGGGCCGGCCGATTGTTCGTAGGAGGAAGGAGATTCGTCTGTACTTTAGCATAAATTTATCTGCTAAGATCATCCCTTAATCGACGGCCCATTCTTGACTGATGAGACGACTCTTGGGCGTTAATTAACAGATTACATCGGTTGATACGTACGTACGTATTTACAGGGTGATTCGGAAATGCTTGTACGAATCTTGGAGGTGGGTTCTCCACATAGATACGAAATCTTCCTGCAAGTACAATCGATTATTATTTTTTTAGTATTACTCGAATCCAAAAGAACACTTGATTGTTAGACTTGACTTGGATTTTTATATTTGGAGATTATGAGTTATAATTTATAACTTTCGTAAACCAGGTATTCCCGGACATACAGTCCTCTGTTATGAGATAGACTCTTAAAATGAGACGGCGGGTTTTCAACGTTTAACTTTACAAATCTTTTTGCGCAATAATTACACGCATCTAACTTTCTTCACTCTAGGGACAATAAATTCGTGCTGGAACCAACAGACGATGTCTATTAATTTAGCAGAAACCTCGCTGTCTCGTATTAGGAGCCTATCTCGTAATAGGGGGCTCTCCTGTGCGTGACACTTTTTCTTGACTATGGAGAACTCACCCCCGGAGTCTGTACAAATGCTTCTGAATCACGCTGTACGTCTCGCGGTTAACAATTCATCTTCAGTTCGTAACTTTGAAATTAACGGCTAAGTTTTGTAAGCGGTGATACAGTTTTGGATTCAATTAATATTAATCACCGGGCAATTTACGCGATTGCCCGAGAAGCCCCGTAGTGGAGAACACGAGATCGGAGGAGAAAGAGGAAGAGCGCAAGCGGCCCTTTCGCGCGTGTCGTCTCCCGTTTCCACATTGTTCCACTGCACCACGATGTCTTAAGCCACGGATTATGTTACGAGCGTAATCCGATCGCGCGCGTAGCTACGCAGGTCCTTCTAAAACTCTGCTCCGGTGCGCCACTAATACGCACTGTTCCACTGTGCGCCTATTATTCGCGGCACCCGGCGGAAAAGCCGCAGATATTTCTCTCGACATATTCCCACTTTTTCCCCCATTCCGTCCCCGCGTGTTTGTCTAGCCTCTTGAAACACTTGGGAAGGAAAATTTCAAAATATTTTTTGTAATATCTGCGTCACGTCGATGTAAACTCGCTTTGTCAAGTCAAGAAAATTCAGAGGAACAAAAAGCCAATTAAAAGTCAAGACAGCATCGAGAGGTAATCATTTCTAGAAAGACAAGATGATATCATTGAACACTTTTATGACTGTATTTTGACTTTTCGATGACTCTCGCCGAAAGAATGCAAGTCGCTCGTGCGTGCAAAATAATTAAAATCTCGTAGATGTTATCATGTATTTCACGAGTTTGTAGAAATGTTTGATTTTTGAAGCATTGATGCCCTAATTTTCCAATTCACAAGATACGAAATGAAAGCTCAAAAAGGCAAATCTGACAGAATATTGATTGTTGCACTTTATCACACAAATTATATTCTTATCTTAATAGCATTTTTGTTAACAAAAAGATTGTGTATCCATACTATCCATGTTTAATTTCCAACATACAATTATGAGTATCGAAAATAATCCAAGTTGAAATTATCGCGATAGAAATCAAACTTTCAAAATCATAATCAGATCAATTTTCTGTCGCGATCAAAATATGACTTTCGATAGTTATTTTGCTGTGATTTTGCCTTCATCGCGACTCCTAGGTCGGTACTCATAGTCAGATTCAGGATCCCTCAATCATCTTTTTTACCGACACAGTTTAGTTTTTGCGTTTGTAATTCTTTTTATTGGCTTTTGTGCACAAAATAATACCGGGATAAGTTGCGGATCATCTTTAGATACCCTATAGCCAATAAAACGTTCCATGCGGCATCTTTAGATAAATTCAAGACAGCCTCGAATGTAAGATCTGATTATGAATACCGGCTCTTGCTCTGGGTACCGTAGAGGGAAAAAAAACATTAAGAAGACAAGCAGGGTTGAAACGAGTCTCTGCAGGACTCACCCAGAAAACCAGGTATGGCACCTAGAGGCATGACGAAGAGGCTGACGAGGAGATCGGCCACGGCCAGTGACAGCAGGAAATAGTTCGTCACATTGTGAAGCTTTCTGTCCAGGCCTACTGCGAGACAAACCAATATGTTTCCCAGTCCGCCGGCGACTATGAACACCGCCACGAACAGGAAGCTCCAGTCGAAGCGGCGTGTCTTCGTTCCCACGCCACCGATCCTGGACCGGTGCGAGCAGGACACGGCCAGGTCCTCGGCGATACTGCCGGCCGGCGAGCACTCGAAAATCTAAAACACCGGATATTTATTTAACGTCCGCTACGTTTGAGATGGACGACTGGAATTTCTACGGCGGCAAAAGCGGAAAGCGACAATTTCGAAACGTCGTCCCGGATTTGAAATATCGCCGCTTCGTCTTCAAAATGAAGAGCTTCACACACACGTCATCCCGGAACGGAAATCGAGCAACTTTATCGCTCCTTCGAGGGGGGAAGTGACTAGATCTAATTCGAGAGAGAAACGAAGGTGTTGAAAATTGTTCAGATCTCAGACTGTTAGTGACGTCGAATTAGAGTGCAAAATTTGAAACTTAGACATTTCGAGTAATTTGGTAATCCATAAATTAACAAAAAATGTTATCCTGGATTCTTGTTTCAATTTTTCATCCTTTTGATGTTTGGGTATTGGAGTTATTTTGTTTTCGAAAACTTCTGCGAAAAATTGAAATGGAAAAGAAATTGGATTTTGAAGGATTGAAGATTTATATTTTACCTCCCGCGATTTTTCTTATTTTGGAACTCTTTGGATTTTAAAAATCCCAGGACATTTGGCTAATCTAATCCCGAGTGTTCTTTCTACTTTCCAACTCTCGCAGGTTGAAACTATGCGAATTTTAAATTCCGACCTCCTTGAAAATTTCGACACTCAACGTCTACAGTCTCGAGGAGAACTTACTTCTTCCTCGATGGACGTGACATTGCAATTCCTTATCGGTATCCTGGACAAAAAGACACCTTCAATGCTCTCGAGACCGTTGAGGAGCAAGGACACGTTGACGTTGCAACTCGCATAATCGCAAGGAGTACAGAAAAGCGTCATCGAGGAAGTGGTGAATGTTCCTCTCTCGATCGCCGTGCAAAGGTGGTCGAATTCGGAAACGATGTTGCACTCTTCGGCGCAGCCCAAAAGAGTATCGTTGCATGACACCTGGTGCAGCAGCGTTGTCCAGTTACTGGCCCAAGATGTCAAATTGCCCTCCGGGACCAGCATGACGAGCCTCGATGGAGTCTTCGGGATTAATACCTCCAGTCACGATCGATAACACGTACGTGCGAGGTCCTTACGCCGACCCGAAGTGTTTCCGAAGACAATCTGACGAAATAACAAGACTCTCGTATCCCGCAAATGTTCTCAAAAAGAGGCTGAAACGCGTAATACATAAAATTAACTGTGCGATTTAACTTTTGACATTTAATAAGCTTTAAGCCTTTGCAACGATTCAGGAAATCAGAATAAAGCTTTTACAGATATTTTTAGAGATTTGTTTTAATCCGTTCGTATTCCATTTAAAATTGAAAATGTAAAATTCAAAATAAAAAGTATCATGCATTGAAAATGATATAAAAATGCAAAAACGCTAAATATTTCAGTCTGTGAAAAAATTGCGAGGTAAAGCTGCTTAATTTCAGCGGATTAATTTTTCAGGGACGCCGTGTTGCGTTTTATTCGCTCTTTTTGCGCCTTTAATTATCGGAGATCGGTATATGGGCTTTGTCATCGGTTTCTTTATCGTCAGGAATTCACAACGTCGATTACAACGTTCGCGGGGAGGAAAGAAGAGCGACGTATTTGCGCGTTGATTGCGGGCGGAGAATCTTACGGAACAAAGCGGCCGCTCTTTCCCGACAAACAAAAGGATCGGCTCGACGCCGGGCGCGTAGACCGTCCGGGACATCGATAAACGTGTAAGACCGGACGGGCGCGATCCGCGATCCCTCCGGATATTTCCACCGGTCGGGCTACAAAAATGTCAACCCCCTTCGGGGCCGCTATTTATTTGCCGGGACCCCACACCGGTCGGATTAACTGACGTACAGGATATCGACAGTCCGTGTTCTCTAGCTCGCGACAATGCTGATCCTCGAACAAATTGCTACTTCGGTAAGCTTGCCTGTCAATGACATACCGGCGCATGTTATCCGGGTTCAGCCGTTGCAAATAGTAATATGGAAATCAAAGGTAAATTCTCGACAGGAAACAAACTCTTTTATCGTTATTCTAATATCTTACTTCCTCGATGGAGTTCGAGCCGAATGATTAATTGGCCAATAATTAGCGCGAAGAGTTGAACGACATGGAAAAGTCACGAATGTGCATCGTAATTCGTTCGTACGGATTATTTATACAAATTGTTGGAGCTTGCAATCGGCAACGCCGATTTAAGCTTCGTATCGCGGAGTTTATTCCCGAGTCTATCTACGTATTTGGTCTAGGCGAAATTCGTATGCGCCGGGCAGTATTTTGTAATTAGCGTAATTAAAGCGCGGTTATCGCTGAATTTTACGAGCAAAACTGGAAACCGATTTCCTGCTTCCCAGAAACGAAGATACAGCTCTCCGCCGAGTTTACGCGGCAAGTTGATAACGATACATTAATGCAGGGCATGAATAATAAAGTTGATGCATTAAAGCCGTGACGGAATATTGCGATCCGCGCGCGCGAGAGTGCTTGATCTATTTATATCTAAGAAAGTTCGCGTATCGCAATATATTCCGCGTATAAAAATAAATGTAATTCTCGCATGACCTGCGCGTAACACGTGTTACTCGTAAAGCCAAATATATGCGCCGTTATATATCATCTTGCTTGGCTTAAATACGTACACGATATCCAGCGACAGACATTTATAAAACGGTCTGTCGCAAATTAGCTGAGCAATTATACAAATTATATTAACGACAGGTATAATGACATAATTAATTACAACAGGCATAACTGTTTACGCTGAATGAAATCGGAGATAAATGCGTTCGCTGGACAATTGTGCGACTGATTTTAACAAAAGTTACACCTTCGCCGAGAAAAATATTGAAAAATTTAGAAAACCGCAAAGGACGTTATTGCCGCAAAGCTGTTGCGGCACCGCGGCTCGAAATTTCGAAGGGGAATTTAATTTCCAAATCGCATCCGAGCCGCACTTTTCGGCTCTGCAAGAAGCCGAGGTGCTTCCTAAGTGACTTGATCCGCGAAAGTGCATCATAGGGTTGAAGTGGATCGCGCCGGCACCGACGTACTCGCACCGAAACGAGCGCGGGTTAACACGCGTTCGAGATCGGGACCGATGTGGGAGAGAACGGGAGATGCGGATGTAATTTATTAGCGGTCCCGTGTGGAAAGTGACGCGGCGTCGCAATGACTACTGACACCTCTAAGGCCAATGACAGCGCGCTCCGTCACGAGTCGTCGTAACAATCATTAATTGGGGCGCTCAAAGGTGAAGGAGATACGGTCGACGTTTCTGCGCGGAGAGAACTTTTAACAAATTTAGCCTGAAAATCATGTAATCGTGGGACAAATAATAAAATCGTTATATTATTAGGAAACTATATAGACACGCGACGTAATTTTCTTTTCAAATTTACCCTGAAAATCATGAACTCGTGGGACAACACTGCATTTTGAAGACCTTTATGAGAGCTTTTTTTAATTATTTTATATCTACGCGATATAACACAAAGTAATTGTCAAGTCGCATCTGATAACTGCAATTTTGCTTCTCTTTCCTCTAATCGTTACACTTTTATTATCAAAGTTTATTGGCCAGCTGGAATTAATCGAGAACCCGTATTATTATTAATCGATAATATATTATTAATCGAGAACTTTATTATTGTGAGAAAACAATACTTATTTTGATCTCTTTAAATTCGCCGCAAATGTCGTCGATTGAAACGTCCGATTTCAATTATAAATAAAAAATATTTATTCACACATTTTGTTTCTATCATTCACTGCGAAAACTATTACGCCAATGAAGTTTGATTACTCGTAATTATAGTGCAAACATTTGCTCGGCGATTTTGTTAAAATTTACAAAATCGTAACCAATCAATCGTGACTTGTTAAATAATAAATGAAGACCAGAATTTCTCTGTTCTAAATAACAAATGTGCTATATTTTTAACTTCAGATTTCCCCGATTCTTGAATAAATAATCAAGTTTGTTTTCAATAATACATATACGCGGCGCTTAATAATCGATCCTTTCGGCAGACTGACGTAAATTAATCGCGATGTTTCACGTTAATTTTTCCGAGAGGGAGAAAGAAAGAGCGGATCCCGAGAAAAGGTCGACAGTAATCCAGTTATTTCCGCTTTCCATGGACAAAAAACCGGAAATTATGATTCCTTTTATAGAATGTATTATTTGAAATTCAAGTTTAAAGCATCTTTCGTCTAAACAGTCATGTCCTTTTATTAAATGGGAAATGCATTGTAGAATGTGCATCAACAAGTAAATTGAAACGAAATGAAAGTACAAAATGAAGTGAAATAAAGACTGAAGTAGGATCATGTATAGATTAAATGAAAAATGAGACGAAATGAAAAGTAGAAAAGACGCAAGATAAAGTAGAATAATGTTCTTTGTTATAAGAAAAGCACCGGAATAGATGAATTGAAAAGAGCTGATTGAATTGTTTCCTACTTAAAAAAATGTGACGATATTAAAGCAACAGGTTCTCGGGTTGTCGCTCGCGATTCAGCTAATAAAATGTCGGACTTTCTGCCGAATGTAAATGGCTTACGGGAAGGCACAGGATTTGCCACGGTATTGCAACAAGATCAATAGCTACACGGCTCCCCGATAAAGGGATCGCGATTAATGAGAGTCCCGCGCGTAGATGCGGCTAATCGAATTGCATCTACGTAAGCGATGGCACTTAAAAATCACGCTCCAACGGCGAGAACGTCTTTCTTCGCAACTAAATAACGCACGCTTGCAGCGTACCCCAGATTCTTCTAGCACCCTTCAATAGATTTTTATAGCGTCTTGGACCTTAGAGCTTTAGTTCCGCTTTTAGCTCCGACGAAGATCTAACGAGGGTTTAAATAATACTTCCAAGAATAATAAATATAAAAATATACTTTATCAGACGCACTTATATTCAGCGAATGTCTGCGAAAGAGATGCGATATTTAAATATTATACGTCTAATCAGGCCAGGTTCTTTTTTTCTTCCCTTAAAACTCGGAGAATTCTAAGAAAAATAATCTCGCACTGTACATCCGTAAAATCTATCGAAGAAGTTGTAAACTGAAAAGATATTGACCTGGAATATCGCTGTGCCATTTTGATATTTCCTTTTTCGATAAGTTTACGGTAAAATAAATAAATCAGTTCTGCGACGAACAAAATCTGCGAACCAATCTCGAAAGGAAATAGTATATCGTGTTCGATCGATTTTATACGATTGCACTTACTTTTCCAATTTCTGCTGTTCGCGTCTCGACGCCATTGATGCTCTCGTTTCGTCGTCGGTACAGTTTGTTCATTGTCCGAACCTCAGACACAGCCGAAGCACTTTTCACTTCTTCTTTTTTTTTCTTTTGCGGAATTTTCACTCGCGTTTCATAGCGAACCGAGAGAAATATTTATTCACTTGTGTACAAGCTATTATTTTTATCCCCCTCGTGAAATTTTTACGGCTTTGATAAACTGTGATTTATTAAATGTTAGTAGTACAAAAGAAGTTCCACATTTATAAAGTAAGTCATCTCTCTCAAATTCTCCGAGGGAATTCGAGTGAGACAACTTCCGCCAAAAATGTCACGTAAAAGCCATTGAAGGTCAGATGACTCTATAGAGTAAATTTTCTCCCTTTCTCTCTCTCTCTCTGACACGAGGGACGTACGAAAAGCATTTTTCTCTGTAACTCTTTAGTCGCGGATTTTCTGACGGACGCGAGATTGATAAAACTATGATAAGACTTTGAAAAAATAATTAATATGATACATAAAATATCTTCTAAACGAATAACGATTTTAAAAGAATTTGTGCAGATGGCTTCTTTTTTGGCGATTTTGCCTACGTTTTATCACAAAAACATTTATTAAAATTGTTCTCGAAGAGTTCATTTTATTGGAAAGATTTTCAATCGTTTTGTTCAATTGATATTTTCTGATGACATTATGTATGTCAAGTAATTTATATGCTGAAAAATAATTAAAATTTTTAGGAAAACTTACGCGCAAAATCTCAAGAGTTTAATTATATGTTTAATGAAATTAATTAATTGATCCTCAAAATTATAAACAAAAAAAAGCGCACGGACAATGAGAATAAAAAAAAACGGAGTTACTGCTGCGTGAGTTTCATCATCAATCATATACTTAATAATCTAAAATGTAGACGTTCTGACCTATTTTGCGTCAGCACAATGAAACTTTCAGTAATACATCTGCTATTTCAGTTCGGCCAACCGGTTCTAGATTTCTCCGTCCAAGAGCAGGGAAGAACCGACATTTTGACAAAACGATCAAAGGTCACGTTGCAAATTATCAAGATTTGCTAATTGCACTCACCAGCCGGTACGAAACAAGAAAATGTGGCCCGGAATATAAAATGCACAGCAGTTCCGCAAATATAGCGTAAGAGGATGTCATTAAAATTGAGATATCACAGTTAGATTAAATACAACGGCAATTGTGTTGGACGGGCGATACACATAGACTGAAGTCAAGTGATAATAAATAAATAACCTTGCGCGAAGCCTATCCGTATCGCCCGTTCGACAATTTCAGTGACATCCTTGGCGAAACTGAAATAGTATGACGTACAGGAAAGTCTCCTATTATAAGGAAATCTTCTAATATGAGACTGCGGGGTTTCTGCTAAATTAATAGACATCGTCTGTTGGTTCCACCGCGCATTTATTGTTCTCGGAGCGAAATCTGTTTAGTGAAAAATTCATTGTTAGATTGTGCGATCGTTGCGAAAAAAGATTTGCGATTGAATTTGGGTGTTGAAAGCCCGCTATTTCATATTAGAAATCCATCTCATGATAGAGGACTTTTCTCTACTACTGAAAGTTTTATCGTAGGTACTGAGAATGACACAGGTATCGTAACGTCCACATTTTGGACAATCAGGTATACGATTAATGGTGAAACTCGGGCAACGATAACCGCGTTTTTTGCTCTCACCGTACAAATACGTATTTTTATTGTATATTTAAATATATATATAGATTATTGAGATTTTACAATTGTGAGAGGCCAATTGCCAGCGTAATTCGATTGACGCGGTGTATTGAGAGGAATGGATGCTAAGAAACCACTGAAAGGGACTTGAATTTCAGTATCGCGCGTAACCCTCGGGCCCACGAAACTCATCATGAATCTATATCGTATAATCTCACAGCTCCTCGATATCCAAAATGAATTCGGCCGATCGGGTTTATTAAATCTCGTGTGGCTCGCTCGATATTTGAATAGCAAAGTAGCGCGATTCTACCGACTTTTTACGTGCGACAGCTCAAAAGCTCGGGATTCGAACGGATCTCGGTGAATCAACAACGAGATTGTTAAACACAGAAATTGAAACATATTAGAAACTTTATGTTGGATGTTTTCACACTGGGAACTTTGTGTTCCAGATATCTATCTGCGATGTTAACGAAGGTCTGCGTGAAAATTATTAGCGAGAAAAGGCGGTATAAATAACGGCCATGTTGATTGGCGCGAGTCAGTCAATTTTTAGATTAATAATTATAATAAGGAATTGTTCATTAAGAATCTAACATAAATTATTCATTTTATTTTAGTTCGCACCAAATTAAGTCGGAGCGATCTGTGTCGTTTTTCACTCGCAAAAATTCCGCAAGTTTTATAATATATTAAAAAAAAAGAGAGAGAAATTTCACAGGCCCGTCGGATCCAAACGTGAAGATTGACAGGCACTGACGAAAGGCCTGCTGTACTTATTGTGGAAATAATGGCGATTTAAAATTACCATAACAAAGGATTAAGCTAATCTCCTTAAAAGTCAATGAAGCAACCCATTTAATGTAGCGATCAAGGTATCTAGTTAAATTCAATTCGGTTTTAATATGCCTGGCAAAACTTTTAGCGAAGTAAGTTTGCCATGTTAAACTCGCAAAATCATAAAATTGCTAATGCAAATAATGTAGAATGAAACGTTTCATAAAATCAGAATATATATGCAAAAGCTCGGGAGGTATGAACCAGATGACGAATCAATAACGAACTACCAAACGTTAATAAAAAAATTATTACAAACGCCTGGCAGGATGTGTCTTACTTTTCATATTCACGCTGCAAATGAACGTCCGTACAGACTATCATTATACGAAAAGGTCCAGTTAGACTCCTTAGAACAAGTAATGTTTCTTTACAACAAGCGCTCGTCCCTCGTTAAAAATGAATGATCAAGAAATGTTCATTTTCAGTTGAATCCAACTTCGATTCTTGTCACGAAATCCAGTTGTTTCACGTAATAATAAAATAAGTAACGCGACAACGAGATAACAGTCTGGGGTGCACGATGCTCGCGCTCGGACCGCGCGGATCATACTGGAAAGGAAGCCACGGAGGCTGCGTGATGAGAAATGAAAGGAGACGAGCGGGATGGAAGCGAGACGGGGAAGCGCTAAAATTTGCGCGCCACCCGGACCTCCCTTCCCGTATCTCCTCCTTCCGCCCGTGTTCTTTTTTCACTTTTCCTTCGCTTCCGTTTCTCTCACCCCCTGCCCCCCCCCCCCGCCACGCCATTATCGCGGACTTCCCCTTATATCTTTACGGCAGCCGATTTCTTCTTTTCCGCCGCGTAACTCTCCCGGGCCTCCTTGTGTTGTGGACGTGTCCTCCGCGCACGCTTTTTCTCCTCCTTTTGTCTCTTCGTTTTTCCGCCACGTACCGCGCGATTTATGACTCGAATTTGCGACGGAAGATGACTAAATCTGAATAAAGTTTCTACACGAATGAAATGGCGAATTCACCCTTGGTTCAGCTCCAGCCCCTCCCCGCGGTTGGCAAATTACTTTGGAAACCGCGGCAGAGATTCGAATATCTTCATTCTTCGCGCACGAGTTAGTTTCCAAGTTAAAATTGTGATAGTTGCTCAAATTGCTTCGGAATTATTTATTGTATCGCGATATCACTACTTGTGATTTAATTTAATATCGCTTGTCCGTTTAATTTAATTTAACGGGGGTTAATACTAGAATTGCTAAAATGCATCCTTTACAAATTTTGCAGTTTGCTGTTGTTCAAACGTTTAAAATATCCGCCGCGCGTGTACAATTTATTTTCGCGCATCGCATATAACATTCGCGTTCACGAATAAGTTCTTTTATATGCAGACAACATGCTGATATTGCTAATGTCAACCGAAGAGTCCAAGTCTTTTCAATGCCTTAAGAAAAAGGAACATTTTTTTTTTGTTAGCGAGACGGGCATTTAATTTCGTCAAGAAACTTTCGTGTTAGGTAAGGCTGCTTCGTTAATTGCACGTTATTTCGCCAATTAAGGAACTTTTCCAACTTCCGAAGGCACGAGCAAGAGTATCGCGATACGTATTGCATATACAATTATAGTAAAATCTGGAGAGTCCGGAAGAATCTGAAAAGTTTTGTAAAAATATTCTTTTCGTATTGCGCCGCATTATTTGATAATTAGATCTTAATAATAAACACGCTAGATCTTAATTGTGACATTGCAACTAAATATCTTTCAATGCGCTACTTCTCGGCATTAAAAATTATAATAAATCGATTATTCGCGAAAGTGTGGGTTTATTGTTCCAACAAGAAGCTACTTTAAACCGTCAAATAATCGACGTGCAGTTTGTTGACGGTTTTAGTCCGAACGAAAGCGGCATCTACTCCAATTAATCGTGCATTAACCGAATACTTTTTCTTACGAATGGAATTATTAAAGGTCGTATATAAAAAATATTTAAAAAACATGAAAAGAGCGCGAGGGACAGAAGCCAAATAATTTAAGAGCAATGTGAAAAATTCGGTAGTGTGAATGTCAGAAAGAAAAACAACCACGCACGTACGTACAGTTTCGATACAGGATTTATTAAATTATTACAGCTAGTTACAATACGAGAATACACAATTTTTACATATACAATATATTATGCATTATATATATATACTTTTTTTTATTCATGCCATTTACTTTACACACGCACACGCACACACACACATACACACACACACACACAAACATACACACACACACACACACACACACACACACACGTACACACTCTCGTACTCTCGCGGGTTTTCTCCCTCTTCCTCTTGTAATCCTTTTTACATACAAAACGGATTATTCACGAGAACAACGAACGGTCATGAACGACACACGGCTTTGTTTGCTAACTAACAACACGCGGCTTTAATAAATAAGTCAACCCTAGTACAATGTACAAATTAGCAATAATGGCTCTCTCTCTCTCTCTCTCTCTCTCTCTCTCTCTCTCTCTCTCTCTCTCTCTCTCTCCTCTCTTACGATTTACACGTGTAACAGCTGCAAAGAACCACAACACTTGTACATCAATTCGATTACATTAATTATAGATACACTCTCAAGACACTCATAATATCTTCCCTTCCGTTTCCTCTTTCCTCTTTCCATTTCCCTTTGTCAGCAACTTATGCCATTTGTGTTCGGTGCAATTAATTAATTGCCGTCCTATATCGCACGATACAACCATCCTGATAACAGCATATCCGCGTCACGTTATATGCTCAATCACAACGGCTTTCTGTTCGCACAAAAGTACAATTTTTAGTTAGAACGAGTTATAAATGAGAGAAATGTGATTTTCCAGGCGCAAAATGCGTTATATCGAAGAAGCGTATTCGTTTGCCTTTTTTTTCGCAGTGATTCGTTGAATACAGAGCGTCTAAAGGAATATCGCGTTACAACTGTGTACGTAACGTTGAAATCTGAGAATTCTCTCTTGCCTATAAAATATTAATAATACTTTCATTAACGTGCAATTAATTGCGACATCAACTATGCAGTTTACAGGAAATGTATATGCAATTTATAAGACGAGGGAATAATTGCAATTTCAACTTGCACAGAAAAATAATGGGAATTAGCCTTTGCGACGTCATTAAATTGGTAAAAGATGTTTTTCCGTGACGCTCCGTATGTGATATGGTTTTCTTGTGTCGCAAGAAAACAGTATATCTCAATATTAGAATTACAGAGACGGCATCCTTATTGACTTTATTTATCTCTCTCGGTTTTGTGCGGTGTACCCTTTTCTTTTGTGATTCCAACGATCACAAGAAAAACGTTAATGATCCACCGCATGCGATCATATAAAAAATATGCGCGCGCCCGCGGGCGAATATAAAATATACTCTCAGTATATAAGCCTGCACATATACACACTCATACATGTCGTTTAAAACGATATAATTAAAGTATCGACATTCGCCGCAATCGCAAAAATTCGTCCCTTAATTAAATAGCTACGTTCGTTGAACATGCACGTTCCTGTTTTATGAAAATAAGTTAAGAGACTTTCTAAGCAGCCTGCTAGTTGGACAGTTAATAATTAAGTTAATATAAGACGCATAATATTAACCGAACGAATTATAGAGAAGATATTGTATTACTTTTTACGATGTAATATAAAACGAACTTTTAACGTAATTTGTGTTTAATAACATTTTTGTTAAATTTATGTCGGCGGGAAAGAATTTAATAATTTATTGGACGCCAATAAATCTTTTGCACAAAGAATGTGTTTAATGGAAAAATCCCTTTAAGTTTAGATTAAAGATTTAAATAGACTGTTTTTTTATTTTCGCTATTAATACCTTTCTCGAGAAGTATTTTTTTTTGTTTTTAGGAAACAGAGATATCGGCTTTGGTATGAGGAAATACGGCCGCATTTTCGTCGCTCGTTCAACGTTGAACGCGCGAAAAAAAAAGCGTAGACTACATACTTGATTATTTCGCGTCTAGATATAGTCTGTAAATGCTAAAGTGATAAAAAATACTATGCTTTCTTTGCCTCCTACATGTGTATATATACACACACATACGCACATGCGCGCACGTACACATACATACATGTACAATGCCTGTATATACAATGCTGTTTACAGCTTTTGTGATTTTGCAATTTTCGTCATTTTAATTAATGTCACTGTCAATTTATCTTCGTTGCCAGCGTGAACCGTTCGGTGTTGACTTTATTTTGTCACAATTTAAATTGAACAATTAATAACAAACGTTTCGTTTAATGAAAATTTATGATTAAACTCTAAGAGATTTAATACAATTTAAGTTTACGTGTCAGATGTAATTTTCCTTAATAGTCTTGGTTATTTAAATGTAACAGGTAGAAAGAGAATGGGATACCATAAAGGCAAGAAAATTGTGTATCATGTTATTATATTAACAACATCAAAAGTACTTCCAAAATTTAGAGGAAAGATTTTTTTTTTAGAAATTCTTACAAAAGTGACGGGGTGTGATTACGTTTAATCTCAGTACCGTGGCATCACCGTAATATTTTTATTTTGGATGACGAAGTTTACCTGATTTCCGTAACTTAATCTCATAGCACAAATCTGTGCGTCCGACGTTTAATTAGGCAATCAATGTCAAACTGCTAATTATATTAAATACGAGCGAACCGAGCGTGCGATTATATTCCGTTGCAACATGCGAAAATCGAAATCACGAACAGTCTAGAAAATGTACGTCGGAGTCGATGTTCACGATTGAACAGTGCTCGCCGTCTTAACTTAATTGATTGTAAAATTGAAAAAGGGACATGAAAAAGGGACATTAATATTACAAATCTTACAATGTTTCCAAGTCCTACAAATTATCCGTAAATACATCTATGAATTGACATCTGCATCTCGAAATGCCATCTTTCTCTCGTTCTCTGTGCACATTTTTTGTCGAGTACAATTAAATTATTGCATTAAACTCTTCTAAAAATGGGCTGTCTAGAGTTTGACCCTTTACAAAGCAATTTCCCTCGTTGTCGTAAATTAAGCATTGTAGTTTTCCATTCCGAAGAAGCGCAATAAATATAAAAAAAGCTTTCTTTTATATTCTACACAGTGGTATGATTAACTGTTCTTTATTTATATTAATTGTATAAATTAGATATTAATTCTGCGAAATTCGTACGAGGAGCAAGAAAGCGCTTACGATCGTTCCACTAGTGCAAAACAACCTTTGCAACGTGCACTAACATACATATTTACTCTGCATTATTAAAACAAAATTGATAATTCGCAAATGTTTATTCTGTGCGCTGGTGTAACTTAAAAAACAGTGTACTGGCCATGTTTAAATAATCGCAATTGTGGCTTATAAATCTAAAGAATCTCATTCTCGGATTTTTATCAATCCTGTATTTCATTAACTGTACTGTATTAAATTAATTGAGTCACATATGGTAATTGAATCATATTCTCTAAATTAGCTTGCGATTTAAAGGTAATTAATTACGTATAAATCACAAAATCGAATTAATATCAACTTTAAATCGTAATTTTTGAATAATAAAATTTTTTGGAGTTCATCTGTTTCGTTTTTTATTGTTAAAGATTTTACGATAAATACGTCATTGGCTAGATTCTTGGATGTCCTTCCTAAAATCAGTCTTCAGATCCAGAGCGTAAAATGGCGACGGCGCTGATGAAAAATTCGTAAACGTCAATTACAAAATCCGCCGCGCTTTTTCCGCAGAAATCATCATTAAATAAAGAACGTGTGCCACAGTTAATTGTTTAATTAGTTCGCTTGTTAATTTTCTCCATAAATAACATGTAGGCTAGCTTAAAAAGAAACCAAGAAAAAGCTGTTGAACAGTTCCCATACAGCACACAAGTGTTGAATCAACATCTCAGAAACGTTCCGTTACAAAATTGCAATATTGCATATTACAATTTAACATTCAGAAAAAACACATTGTTAAATTATATTGAGTTAATATTGGTCGCGTTTAGTAGAGTAGTAGCTTTTTCAATTGTTAGAAGTGCTGAGATTGAATTATTCCACTAAAAAAAAAGTAATAATCCAATCTTAGTTCAGAAAATTTCTGACCGTTGGAAAAATATTATACATACTCGTATACATATGTACATTTCATAATTATACATTTTTTAAGTATCTATTTGAGTGACAAAACATAATAATTTGTTCAATATTATTTTAACGTTGCAGCAATATAAAGAATTAATGTAGAAACGTTAACCTAGAGATTCAACGTAGAAAAGATATTTATATCTCAACGTTCAACATCGCAACGTTTTAGCAACACTAGTTTAACTTTCTGTGCTGTATGGGGTTTGCTCTTGAGAAACTTTGACTTCCTGTGCGTTTACTTTTGACAATTGGTAAAAAATGTCGATCGTTGAAGAAGTTTTTCGATATCATTTTCGCGTGAAAATTCAAAATTGCACAAAAAGTGTGAGCAGCGTGAAGAATTTCTCTCCATCTACAATATCGTTTTTCTTATGTTCTTTTTAATAACCCTCGCTCTTTTTTTTAGTTTTTTTTCCATTAAACTATTCCTGCGATAAATTTTAAAATGCGCCACAACGGCGAAACACCGTTACTGACACTTTGCGCTCGAGGGTTAGCGATGACACCGCAGCGACAAACAGCAAACGTCGTCGAACACTGACGTCGTTTAAGTTTGCTGCTGCGACATAGCTATTGGCATCATTGGCGAAATTGTGCAACTTCCGTCTTGCGTGCGGCATGGTGGCGTCAAAGTCACTTGATCGATACGTGTCAAGGTGTCGGCGGAACACGGTCAAGCTTCTGTTTCGCCTTTCAACCTCAAACGGGCGAAATCCTCGAAGATTATGTCATCGTCGCCATCCGCCTCCCTGCGAAAGTGGACAAACGGCAGTGAAAATGCAGTCGGAAAAAGCGCAATAATTCTATAGCAATTTCCAGAGAAATTGAGACGCTCCTCTCGCAATTATTCGCGAAACTTCAAACGAGACCTTATCGATTTGCTATAATCGATGCGAACTCGTAAATTTGCCCTCTTCAAAAATTGAACTCGCTTCGAAATTGCTCCGGGACCACTTACGTGTCCAATTGGATGAGGTTCGTATCGAGCGGGACTTCCCCGCCGTCGCTTTTGTGCGTAGGGCTTGGTCGAGCTGTGGACGGCACTGGTTCCTCCTCTTCCGGTTTGGGATGCATCAGAATGAAGGGCAGTTCCGCGACTAATTCGCTATTGATCAGAATAAAACAGTAATATTAAATAGAGCTGTTAAATTCGCGGTCCCCTAAAAGTCCTCGGGGAGGTTCAAGACCTAAAAGGATCCCGGAGTTTATTTCAAGCCGGTATTCGTAGCTGTCTTAAATAAGACTTCTTATGATGCTAATACGGGCAGCTCTATGATTAGTTCATGTCTTAAATATAAGAACGAACTACGAATTCCGGCCGTAGATCCTTACAGAAACTTAATGACTGGGAACGAAAAAAGCACGGAACAATTACCAGAGTTCGGTAATTGAATTATTAGAAATTACTTATGTACAGCAATGGACAGAATGGTTGCGACACTTTGTTTTAATGAGTTTAGGAGCATGCATTTAGATTGACGGTTCTAAAATCTCCGAGAAATATATTTCACTTGACGACGTTATCTTAAACGTAAGAATGAACTACGAACTCCGGCCGTAGACCCTTACAGAAATGTAATGACTGGGGACGAAAAAAAGCACTGATTAATTAGCAGAATTCAGCAAGTAAATTATTAGAAATCACTGATGTATAGTGCTGGACAAAATAACCGCGACATTTCTTTGTAATGAGATTAGAAATATACGTTTAGATTGAGGATTCCAAGATCTTCTTCTCTGAGAAATATTTCGCTCGACGGCCATTCGGAAAACATTTTGAGCGTTTCCGATCTATTTCTCGAGCTCCTAAACTCATTAAAAAAAAGTGCCGCGACCATTCTGTCCATCACAGTATTTTTCTAGTAATTATTTCGCTTACATTTCTGTAAGAGGAGTGTCGTCGGAAGCGATTAAACTCCGGATCCGAAAGTTTATTTAGCAATACTTTTTTTTGTAACTAGTTGTCGTAGAAAAATGACCGTTTCAGGCCACCTCGTTTGCGGTCGACATGTTAAATAGGTAACGGCACTTACCCTCCTAGTGCGCCGAGGCAGAGTTTGACTTTAACTTTGTACTGGACAATTATGCCGAGGTTTTCACGCTGCGCCGGGTCGACCACACTGCGAATCACATTTACCGCTGTCATTATAACGCATTACAATCGATTGGTGCGAACGCCACATGAAAGCCCATGCAAAGTTAATTTTGTGTGTAACGGCGTCATGCACAAACGACGGGGAGCAACACAGAAGAGGAATTCGTAAATTGACTTTGTTAGTCGCAAGCAGGCGGAAGCAGGGCGGCAATTTGTCACAATACTATTTACTTAAACATTTATATAAAGCGGTAATCACGTACATATCTTTTAGTCGAGCCAGCCATGATACTACAACTTCGCAGCGGAAATTAACAATTTCTAATTCGTTCCATGCAACTTTACTGCAGGCAGAATGCCGGTGGCGATGCCATGTTTTTACGAGCACAAGCAGAAGGAGGGTGGGATTTCGGTTTTCAACTTTTGCTTCGGGTGTCTTGCATCCTAAATCCCCTGGATCGCAGTTTCTTAATCCTTTCGACACCATTGGAAAATATATGTCCCGGCGGAAGTGCGGGGAGCTTTATTCAGCATAAAAAGAAGATAACGGAAGAGACGAGGGTTTCGTCTGCAAAACAGGAAGGTCGTTGCATTCAAGTCGCCGGGTTTAGTTTGCGCGGAGATGAAATGTATTAAGCTCGCGCGTTCTGTCGCGAAAATAATAAGGTTTATTCTTCGAAACGTTGCATGCCAATGCTTGATATTAAAGTCGCAACTCGAATTTAATTTCGGGACTTTGTCGGTGCGGGAGAGCGTCGGGAAGGCGGTATCGAAAGAATTAAATTACTTGGATCTCAGAATCCATGGATATTGAGGTTCGCGGAATTTCGAGAGCTTCTTAAATATTAAAATCTTGGAAAACTGTCGGTCTCAAAGCCTTCGTTTACATGGACGTCCATGGATCTGGGTCAAAGGAATTCAGGATGCGCGGAAGAAACGGTATCCCAGTGAGTTTGAGTGCGAATCTCGCAAAAACAGAATTACACGTCGTTCGACAATGATTGAGCCAGTCGCTCGCCATCTCGATCGATCGATCGTTGAGAAAAGCTTCGTTGCAGGCAGCCAACATGTATTTTCCGGCCGTTGCTTGTGTGGAAAGCGTTGCGCACGAAAATGAGAAATTCCCAAAGGCGTATTCGGCTGCGCGTTGCGTGCGTGAACGGACACGTGTGTAATAAGCGCCGTCCGCATTCTCGCCCCGCATTCAGCGCTCGTTTGGCAAATCTCCCCGTCCGCGCGTCGAGTTTCGGTGTTTCTTAAATTTTCATTATTTTCATAATTTCTGTCTTTCAAGCTTTACCTCGGGAATCATTAATTACGCAACATTTGAAGAAACTCTTTAAAATAATTTTTAATAATTTACGATGTCATTAGATTTTTCGTAGAAACATTTGATTACCATTGCGAAACTTTTATCGCGTTTACAAAAGTCTTACATGTTGCGGAGGGAAGACGTTTACGTCATTTCACGGGCAAAAATCGCCTCGATGCAGAAATAACTTTCCGCAATTTCCCCACTTAATAATTTTCGTCCTTCATCAGAAAATATTCTGTACAACGCGCGTTTAAATATTCAATAGTCGAGATCGCTGTCATTCAACTGCCACGCGTCTGTCAGGCTGTCGAAAGTTTAGGAAACACCGCGTCAAACTTTCGCAATTTGTGAGGGATAATTTCCGGACGGTATCTATCCGGCGCTAAATGCGCGGCCGAAGCGGCGGTACGGCGGCATCAATATCTAGACGTGTGTCTCTGCATGTGTCGCAGGCTCAACTTCAGGCATCGCGTCCTTACAGGGTGCTGGACGCCAAATTGGTGTCCTCGTGTTTGAGTTGGCCGTCGAGGGCGAGCCCCCATTTATCTTTGTTGTTGGCCAGAAGGGGTGTCAAGGTGAACACCTTGCTCAGCGTGAAGCCCGGGCCCACCGGGCATCCCTCCCTGACATTTGAACACACAACCAGCATGAGTGTTAACGTGCTGCTACGTGCGGATACCGGGATCTCGCGGCGATTAATTCGCGAAACGTATTAACACTTTTCGCAAGATATTCGCGAACTCTTCTCTAACGTTGCTCGGTCATCCACTTGAGCGTGGTCGAAGTGGCAAAAACGCATTTAGACACGCACGCTCTCGAAATAAATTTGTCAACGCTAGCTTTACATACGTAAAAATTGTTTGGCGTTAATCAAGATATTAATCCATATCTTGATTATCATTTGTTATATCTTGTTTCAGTAGTAACCGTTGTATTACGATACTTCTGCGCCGAGAGAAGTTTCGCAGGATTCCCGCTCCGCGCTCTGAGAGATTCGCGACTGATTAAAAGTACAACGAGCGACGATATATGAACGAGAATGTGTAAACAAATTAAATAAAGTTATTTCTTCAACACTCATATACACCGTGACTGTACGATATATCAGCTTGTGCCTCACGCTGCGATACAGACTACGATTGCGAAAGACGAGAACAGGACGAGGGCTTAACAATACTGTACAATACTTTAGTGCCTAATGACAGGGTCATGTAGGGCGTGAGACATTTACGGTTGTACGTATATCAATGCAGAAAACTTTACTTTGAGAATTCCGTGAAGTACGTTTCAGTGGGAGGAGAGAAAAAAATAATCCGGAAATGTACTCGATGTGGGAGGAGGGAAAGGGAGAAAGAGGGCAGAATGTGTACAGAGATAGAGAGAGAGAAAGAGAGAGGGAGCTTTGCAGAGGAAATGAGACCACCACCGATCGAGATCCATACGTGATTACAGGCCACCGCGTTAAAAATCCCCAGCACAAAATCACCAAGAAAATGCTGCCATTCCATTTTTACTTTCTCTTTTGCGTTAAATATAAAAAAAGAGAGTGAACGAGGAGGCTGGCTTGTCCTTTAATTTCTTGTCAATTTCTCCTTAACGTCCATTTAATGAAAGACAACGTATACGTCAATGGTCCGATATGCGATATTTTTATTTAATATATCAACAGTCGATGCATCGAACGAAACAGAACCCGATCGAATTTAACTTCCTGTTGTCTTAGTCTCGAAGTTTCAATTTGTAACATTTAGGCGACTTACGAGCAAAGAGACCGACTTGCATTTCTTCGTGCGTTCAAACAACTCAACTTTTCATATTTTGCTGGCTTGCAACATTACGTTCCTTTTCACGTTGCAAGACTATCCGAGAGACTATTAAGATTAATCCGGACGTTGTTAACGCGAGCTAGTCTCTCAGTAAACTCGGTCTTTCTCAATAACTTTGTAAAGGGATTTGATAGCACGCTGTTATTACGCTTCGTCTTTACGGCGCTCGGGCATGATGAGTCCCCATAAAACCCGGACATTCGCCGTGAGATATCGTCACGATTATAGTCGGCGAACCATTTGGCCTCCAGCCTCCGTCATCTCTTTTTTCTTCGCCCCCTTTTAGTACCCGGGCAGAAAAGGTGAGAGAGTAATGAGGGAAACAGCGAGCTCTTAATCTCGCACTCACATTGTACTAGACGCGAGATTGGTGTCCTCGTGTTTAAGCTGACCGTCTAGAGCAAGGCCCCGCTTGTCTTTGTTCTCGGCAAGCGTCGGCCTTAGAGAAAACACCTTACTCAGGGTGAATCCTGGCGCTACCCCTATACTGCCAGTGCAATAATTTTATTTTCCTGCTCGTCACAGTCCTGTTTATCGCATGTTATCGCGCCCTACGCCCTCTCCCTCCCTCCCCCCGCCCTGTGTCTAAATTTTGAAAAAAAAAAACTTTGACGCAGTTCGAGCTGGTCGCCATCGTCCGTGTCTCGAAATCTTTAACGATGCTTGAATCACAGAACCTTAAGGGCGCTAAGTTTATCGCCTGAATTGCAAACGGTGTGAAATTAATAGCATACTCAATTAAAAAGTATTTAAACTCCAACTTAAGACTACTTTGACGCGATGGCGATTAAAAAGCGGTTTCGGAGCATTCTCATCAGTTGCAAGTTGAAGGAGCTTGACGTTAAACAACGATTTTCTCCGTTCTCTGAGGAATTCAATAAAATAAAACTGTGTTCGAAATTTCTTACACGCGCGTCACGGAAAAGCGAGGTTGAGGAGAGACGTTCGTGTGGCGAAAGTTGAATTTTGTCGAAACGGCTTTTTAAATTACCCCTGGTTTATTGCAACGCGTTCCTCGCCAGGGCGCGATACGTACGTCTATCGATAATGAACGGCGGTAATCAGGCGGGGAATACTCACTCGCTCTCGGCTTCGGCGACGGTGCACTTGTATTGCGCCGTGGAGAACAGGCAGATGTCCGCGAACTGCCTAACCGACACTTTTATCTTTTTCACAGTCCGGTTGCTATTGTTCGCTATGTGCACGTTCACAGCTATGTTCTCGCCGTGATGGTAGAGCTCCTTGTCGAGGGAGGCCTCCAGGTGCAGCTTGTTCGGGGACATCATGAACTCCTTGCTGACCTCCACTGAGGGCTGCTCGCCCTGTTTCGACGGCGCGTACATAATTTTCCTGATCGCCAGCCTCACGCAGCTCCTGCGAGTTCGAATCGGTTTAAACGTTCGATTACGGTGGAACAATTGAGCGGAATGTTTGTCGTTTCGACAGTCGGAATACATTTATTTCTATATTAGAATAAGCAACCGTCTGTCTCTCTGTCTCTCCCTTTAGTGGAAATTCTCTGAACAAAAGGAAGTACCTCTTCTATTTGAAAGGGTAATCTCTTGAATTTTGCATCAAGACGTACCGTTTGTGCGGTTTGTCATCTTGCGTCTCGCCCACGAACGCTTTCAGCTCGTAGTCGACGCCGCAGGGTTTGCCGGTGTCACCTGGCGCCGGTTGCAGAGTAACCGAGGCGGGGCAGTGGGGTGGTAACTCGAAGTAAAAGGGGTACGCGTTGCTGCCCAACTTTTTGATCAGCCTCTCTTGCAATCGCGTCAGCTCCCTGGGCGGCTGGGTTCCCTGCAGCACCGGGTAAATCTGTTCCGCCGCCAGATATAGATCCTTACGGAAGGTCAATCCGAGGACGTCCAGATCCTCCCTGCCGTATTTGAACGCCGCGAGAACGTGACCGAACACTTTCCGGTCCTTTATGTAGTCCGGATCGATCAGGACGACGCCGTCTGAAAAATCACAGAGATACCTTTCAACGTTGAGTTTCTAGCAAAATGCGCTCTTGTGATTCTACGATCGTTGTATTTGGAAACTATTATACACGCGACGTAATTCTCTTTTAAAATTTATCCTGAAAATCGTGGAATCGTGGGACAGCGCGGCATTTCGAAGAATTTTATGGGTAAAATTTTACTAGTAAAATGTACGGTAAAATTTCAAAAACTCTCACAAAATTGTTCGAAATGCCATCGTCCCACGTTCGCGTGATTTTCGGGATACATTTTAATCGTCTCCGTGTAGGGATCTGTACATTATTCCTGTTTGAAAGCGCGTGAGTTAGTTATGATGGATACGTGCCGATAGGATCAACATGCGTGATGTGGTCGACGAAATCTCTCTTGCCGAGATAAACCGTGATCTTGCCGTTGAGACTGGACTTCTTGAAGACACGAGTGGCTTGCCGTTTGTTGACACTGTCTATAGTGTCCATCGTGGCGATCTCGGGGCCCACGTTGGCCCCTAGCTCATTTGAGTCCTCAGTATCCGAGAAATCCGATTCCGAGCTCTCCCACTGTCGACAGAAATCGCTTGTTAGAATGTCGCTGACGAATTTATTAATAATCCGGAGAGAATTCGCTCTTAAGATCGTGTGATCGTTGGACAACAGGACATTTTGAGAAATTTTATGTGTGTTTTTGGAAATTTTACCAGTAAGAGTATGGCAGAATTTTAGAAAATTCTCATAAAACTCTTCAAAATGCCATGTTCCACGACTACACGATTCTCAGAGTAAATTTTAAAGGAAAATTCTCTCCGTGTTACCCTGAAAATCTTGCGAGAGACTTTATGAGAGTTTTTTTTAAATTTTACCGTACATTTTACTAGTAAAAGTGTGGTAAAATGTCGAAAAACTCTCATAAAATTCTTCGTGTTGTTATGATTTTCGGGGTAGATTTTAAGAAAATGTTCTCTCTCCGTGTAGAATCACACACTTTGGGATTGTTTCTTCAATGTCACAAGATTCTACAATTATAAATTTTTCCCTTTCTCTTTTCTTAGTTTCCATTAATTCTAAATTTACCTCTATCATATTCTCTCCGACTTCTTTCATTGTCACGGGTACTTTTGTTCAATTAGCGAAGTATTCGTCAAAATAAGAGCGCGTCATCAACACTTACAATCGGAATTGAATCTTTAATCACTGAATTAATTATTGAATCGATCCGTAACGCAATTTAATTGTAAAAAACTCTGGCCGAGGTAATATTTTCCGCAATAAATTTTCACTAATTAGAACTGCCAGCTGCGTCGTTTAACAATTTTTCTACATTGGTTAATTGAATTGTATTACATTATTTAACACAAAGCTTTTGTGAATTTCCGTTTGTCGTAAATTTCACGTTCGAGAGCTTATTGTGCGTGAACTAAGTGCGGCGAGAGAACGTTAATCCGACGTGTCTCTTTCTGCAAAATATCGGCCGCGCGTATTTTCTGCCGCATTTCACGGGGCCGCAACGTTGCATGCACAAATTTGCATTCTTCTTTATTTCGCCGCCGTAATAAACCGCTCGCGCCAAATTGAAATTACGTCGAAATGCGAACGCGGTGAAAGATGGCGGAGCACGTCGGGGCAACGCCGAGCTTGCACTGAACCCGCTCCGGCAAATAGATGTCAATTTCAATCGGCGCTCGTATAATACTTAATACGATAATGCTCGTACAATAATTTGTACTCACGGGATTTACACACCGCGTGCCGCTATCGGTTACAGATACGCGAGTGACCGAATGTAACGCGAGATGGATTAGTACCGAGTGCTGCGGAAATAAAAAACAAACGAGGGAAGGGGAGAAATATTCCAGAAATAGCTTCTGCAAAATCATGAATATTTATGCTAGATTTATACTAGATTCCGCTTTGTTTGCCGGACAAATAAAAATTTTGCCGCTTCGCGAGGGTATTAAAGTACATTAAATAAAGTTTGCTTCTAAATAAAGTTTACTCACGATTAATCGAAGAGTAAGGTCGTATTACCAATTTACACTTCCAAACCTTAATTCATCCTGCCTTAACAGTTTCCCCATTAAATTACTGATCAAATTTTCTTTGAGGGAAAATCGATGCTAAATTCATTAAGGCGGAGAAAGGCGAGTTTCACGAGAGAGAGAGAGAGAGAGAGAGAAATTTACTTCTATTTAATTTCACGACTACTTAAAAACACTTCGTTATTGAATCTGCCATTTATTACAAGAATACTTAATGTCGTGTATTTTATGTTTCAGTCTTTACTACATCTATTTAAAAAATTATCAAGTTCTAGTTCCGAGCCAGATACGTGAATTCACATATTAAATTAAAATTATTCGGCTACCTGCATCTTGCTCGGGCCTAAAATTTGGCGTTCTCGTTTGTTATTTCACTTGCATCCCAATGGTCTTGATTTAACTTTATTTGTTGACAAAATTATTCTTAATTTCGATTATGCGCTACTTTTTCAAAATATTCTAACAAGTCTTAATGTATTTTTGAAGAGACGACCTATTTATATCTCATTAATTAATATTGAGAAAATCTCTCTCTCTTTCTCTCTCTGTTCCTTTCTCTTTTCTTCAATGCTGCAATACGTTGTATACATATAATAAACAGAAAACCGTTAGAAAATATTTTATTATTCAATATGTTACGTATTTTGGCCGGGAAAGACAAAGAGAATGCTGTCTTTACGTAACACCATGTATAAACGAAAGTATGCGCGAATATAAGATCGTGCTGCATATCTAACGCCGATAAAACGGGTCAGCGGAAAGGAATAAGGAACTTGCGTACATATTTGACGTCATTATGCCAAATGTTATCGCGGAGCACCGAAATACATGTTTCTTTATCAATTCGTGCGCCATAATCAGCGTCTCCAGCTGCGTATCGCGAAGATAAAATGAAGATTAGACGCGGGACAAATTTTATCTGCCTCAAGACAGTTGTTCCACGTGGAAACATTGACTGTTATCGAGCAATTAAAATATTAAACGTCTGCGCGAATAATGCTGGAACCTAGGAATAAAATGTAATAGCGCGAACATTTTAAATTATCCAAGGGGCTGGAGAGCGCGATCAATCATCCGCTCGTTAGAATCCCCATTCGTTAATTGCCCGTGAATTCCGGGGAGAGACGAATAGTCCCTCGAAACGATTCAGGGCAAATTTTGCATGCTGGGTCAACGGACGGAAGCTAGTCTTACGATTCACTTGACGTCACTCGCATGTTATCTGGTCTGGTATAAATGCCTGGGCAGGCATTCTCGCGGTCGTTATCGCGATCCCTCGTAAATCAAGCAATCGTGAAAAAAAACCACTTACGCCCAGAAACCATGGACCGATCGGCGTGGCTCGTTTATTTTAATAAAATCGCTGCTCGCTCGACAATATTGCGGAGATGAAATAAGATTAATTAACTTAAAGCGCGGCGTTGAATATTTATACAGCAAACATATGTTTGCGCGAAATTTTATTAATGTTTGTTTGATAATTTCAATTTATTTATTTATTTAGTTTTTCATTTCGCTAAGTAATTGGAAACAAATCGAAATCGAGAAAGTTTAATTTGCGACTCGCGCACGCTCGATGCCGCCAATTTCAATCACGTACAGTTCCCTTTGTGTTTAATTTGGTTTCAAGAGGGTCGAAACGACGGATAAAAAGAGGCACAGATTAATTCATTCGGCGTATATTGCGCTACGCATTACACGTCAGACGCAATCGCTCCGCTCTCCCGTGTTCCCTCGCGTCGACGAGTGTCAAGCCAGTTTCCGGATACGGCCCCAATTATACTTTCGTTTCGCAGATAATCCGCTATTGTTTAACGAGCTTTTATTGCGATTTCGAGGCCTGATTGCCCTTTTGATGGCGAATAAACGACGCGGGGGCGGAGCGGGCGATGGCGTTGCATTCTGAGTCGCCTGTAGTTTAGCGCACTTATACCTGTTACAGTGATTCTATAACCGGCGCGAAACTACCGGGAATCATACTACTCAATCGCTGCTGACGTCATTATTCTGTATACACAGGGTGCCTCCCCCGACTCGCCGTGTAGCTCGTCTGAATCCGACTGGGGAAACTGGATTATTCAGAAGCTTATACCGTTCCATTATTCAGGATGCGTCGAGACTAGCCCTACAATAAAGTCGCTTTAATTCTAATATACGGTTTCTTCCTCAGACAAATGTTATCAATCAATGAGAAAGAGCGCTGAGAGTCTTGACAACGTGTTAGCGTCACAAAAATCGTAATATAAACGTAACAAACGTTTCTGCCTTGTTTTCAGATCATCAGTGTATAACTGAATTATGAAAAGAATAAAAATCGCTCGCGACGTATATTGCACTGATTACTGCCATTGCCAATGAAATATGCGAGCGATTTATATATTCTATATAATTCAGTGACTGACGACGGTCTAAAGAAAGGCCGAAACGTTTGTTCTTCATTGTAATGATGAAGATTCTTGTGGCGCAAACATCTCGACAAGGCTCGTTATTTCCTCGATTCGGTATTTGTCGGAGCCTCAAATATTTACAAATGTTATCAATCAATGAGAAAGAGAGCTGAGAGTCTTGACGACGTGTTAGCGTCATAAAAATCGTAATATAAACGTAATAAACGTTTCTGTTTTGTTTTCAGATCATCATTAATGTATAATTGTATTGTGTATAAATGTACTGAATTATGGAAAGAATAAAAATCGCTCGCGACGCATATTACACCGATTACTGTAATTTCCAATGAAATACGCGAGCGATTTTTATATTTTATATAAATCAGTGACTGACGATGGTCTAAAACAAGACCGAAACATTCGTTCTTTATTGTAATGATAAAGATGTTTGTGACGCAAACACCTTGACAAGGCTCTCTATTTCCTCGATTCGGTATTTATCAGAGCCTCAAATATTTGCAAATGTTATCAATCAATGAAAAAGAGAGCTGAGAGTCTTGTCAAGGTGTTAGCGCCACGACAATCTTTATTACCGTGTAAAGAAGAAACGTCTGTCTTTTTTTCAAGACCATTGTCAATGTACTCGTATAACTGAATTATGAAAAATATATAAATCGCTCGCGACGCATATTTCATTGGAAATTATAACAATCGGTGTAATATGTGTGTAATATATCGGTGTTATATTTTATATAATTTAGTGACCGACGATAGTCTAAAACAAGACCGAAACGTTTGTTCTTTATTGTAATAATAAAGATTTTTGTGACTCAAACACCTTGTCAGGGCTCTCTTTCTGTCAGAGCCCCAAACATTTACAAATTTTAGCAGTCGCTATTTGTCGATTGTCTAAAGCTCGATATTAAACGTTCTGAATGAAGAAAATAAAGGAGATGTATCGGATTAGCAGGTAGAATCTAAATGAGTCCTGACGGAGGGATGAAATTAATATTTTAACCACGTTAAAATTAATTTGGAGAGGTTGCGTAGCGATTTACTGGACACCCTGTACGCGTGGTTATAAACGCCAGGCGAACGTTCGGTTTTCGTACCTCAGAATGTTCGGCAGGTTGATCCCGCCGGAAATAACTTATTTAAGCGAGGCACGAATTACTCAACAAAAGGAAAGAAGAGAAAAGTGCGTAATATATGAAGTACCTTGTGAAAAGCCTTGTCAGTTTCGTTTATTTTAAAATTTAATTTCGATACAGCAATATGTGTTTTACGCTTTGCTTTACAATTGGCACAATTTTAATTTCAATTTTCACAAACGCGAAAACTTGAAATTACATTTTCCCTCGACGCTTCAAATGCAAAGCTATCGCTATTATGGCGAGATGGCAATTGCTATATAAACCGATAATCCCGTGCAATATCGGACCAATAATAAACGAGATTTATTAATTTCAATATACATATTCACCAGGTTTTTCGTGTAATTCGAGAGATTTTCAAGTTGCCGAGGAAAATATTTCTTTTTCAACTGTATATTAACGCTCGCTATTTTCTCCTTGAATTTTCCTGCCAGAGTGTGGGAAATTCTGTAGCCGGCGGGAAATTCTGCAGGAAATTTTCGCACACGTGAGGGCTGATAAACGAGCCGCTATATTGCACAATTTATTAGCTATTATCGGACATATTGCGTGCGGGCCATGTTGCGAGCTTCTGCGTCGCGCGAGCTTTTGATGGGATGGTACACGATAAATGATAAAGCTACACCGTAGTAGAATACGCATATCCTATTATTGTACAATTTGTCACTTCAAAATTACGCGATAAAATATCAGGCAGGCTCGTTTAACACTTGCGGAAAAATGAAAGCGACTTGTTAAATTTGCTTCACTTTCACTTTACACGTACATCCGCTTTCAGATTTATTACATAGGACAGTTGTAAAATCTCTTATTCCATAATATTTATTGCTACGATTATTCGTTTAATTTATTAGATATTTTGCACATTGGCAAACATCCTTTCGATTTAACGATTAAATTATTGCCGGGGGGAACAATTTTTTGTATTTGATTACAATAAAAAATTTGTTTGGATTCTAATATTTAACTGTCATGTAACTTCAATAAGCTTAATCCTCTCTTCCGATAACAATTTTATTAATAAAGCCTGACAGGAAGTTTACTGAAAGAGATATCTATCGTATAGATTTATCTGCTGATAAATTCAACAGTTTCCTAACAATCGGTATCT